ACCACAAAAGACGCTGGTTCTGCTGCCCATGGAAGTGAGGCTGAGGAGAATTTTCTGGGGACTCCCCTCCCATCCCGGCTTTTAGAGGAATTCAAAGCCGCAAAAGAGATCTACTAGAGAGTGGAGAGAGGACAAGGATCCTCAGCCTCCTTATTTTACAGATTGAGAACCTGAGGCCCAGAGAGGGAGAAAGACTTGCCCAAAGCCACACAGCATCTCCAGCTTTTCCCCATTCAGAAAAGAGCTACCTCCCTGGTCCTGGAGAGCACAGCTTACAAAATGGCAGAGGCCTTTATTCCCCATCCTTCCCTGGGCCTGCAGAGACCAGATTCTAATAACAAACTCCCTTCTAAGGAAGCCCAGCTCCTGAGGGCCCCCACTGGGCAATGAGGGCATGGAGTGGGAACAGGGCCAGGCTCAGGGCTGGTGAACCACCCAACCCCCTGACCCCCCCAAACAGGACAAAGTCTCATGGAGTAATAAAACAATAATTTCCAAAATCTACCTTTGTGACAAGGTCAGCATGAGGCACCTGGGAGAGTCTGAAAAGACAAAAAATAAAAATATTAAGATTCCTCAACACGGCACCATCAGCAAATGTCTCCCTCAGGAGGAGACCCAAACTCCCACGGGTACCAAGCAAAGCTCCCTTCAGGCATGTGACCCAAAGCCTCTGCCATTTTTAAGGAAGGGCAGGAACAACCCAGAGCCACCTCCATTCCCAGGATCTTAGCAACATTAACAGCTGGCAGATCTAGCTGAAGGGATCACTAGGTATCTCTGTGCCTCCATTTCTGTCTGAGAATGGAGATTATAACAGAACCTGCACACAGGCTTGCTGTGAGGAGTCAACGGGGACACTGTGTTAGACCGTGCCTGGCACAGTAAGTACACAACAGATCATTGTGATTATTACCACTCCTATTGTTACCATTTAAAATTCACCTTCATTGTGGAGCCGAATTTATAGACACACCTTCTGTCGCATCATCACCCACGGAGTCTTCTTTAGAGCACTTATCACAATATGTAATCATCTTCCGTTTTTGCTTATTTTTTGGTCGCCTGTTACCCCCACTGAAACACAAGCCCCATCGAGGCAGGCATCCCACTTCTTGCTCATGAAGTGGCGCCTGGCCCACGCATGATGTATGGGTAATTCCTGCAGATCTGCCCAGCTAGACCATTGTACAGAAAGGAAAGTTGAGATCCAGAGAGAAGGAACTTGCCCAATGCAGGGCTCCTGGCTCCCAGCACAGGGGGTGCACCCCATCCCACCCCTGCCCTCTCCTGCAGACAGAAGCCGACTACCTCTGGAAGGGAGCCGTGGGCAGCTGGGGTCCTCATCTGTGTCCCCACACCCACTCTCACAGGGGCTCTCCAGAGCTGGGATCTGGGGTCCCCGGAGTTGCTGCTGGTCTCGGCCACTGTCCTCGTTGGTGGGGCTGCCCAGCTCCCCCTCTGTGTCAGAGGCCTCGGGAGCCGGGCACAGTGAGGGCGAAGGTCCTTGGGGCTCCGGGGGCTCCAAGGGGCCCAGCGGCTCGTCGGTGAATGTCAGCCAGGGGCCCAGCTCAGGGTTCAGTCTCCGGGAGCGCCGCACGGGGCACACCGAGCTCTCCAGCTTCCGCCCCAGCTTGGTCCACGGCAAGCCTCGGCCTGGCCTTCTCCAGCCCCACTCCTCCTCTTCCTCCTCCTCTTCTTCTTCCTCCTCTTCCTCCTCTTCCTCCTCCTGCTGGACACGGCCTTTCACTTCCAGCCTCAGCGGGCGCAGGCTGGGGCTGGGCCCGGCGCCCCGGGGTGAAGCCGCGACCCTCACCTCCTCCACAGGGCGCGGGCGGCCGGGGGACACCTGGCCTTCTCGGGGCCTGTGCTGGGGCCTGAGCGAGGCATAGACGGGCGTGGCCAGGCGGTAGGGTTTGCTGACATCACAGGGGACATCTTGAGCCAGGAGTTCCCTCAGGATGGAAAACTCAGCCCAGGCGGCTTTGGAAGGATGCTGGGGCCGGGCCCAGGGTCTGACCTGCTTGGAGGGGTTGCTGCAGGGCTGAGGGGCGGGCTCCAGGGCCTGTGGGGGCAGCTTCCTCTGGGGGAGGCAGTAGGTGTGCATGTAACGAATAAGCTGCACCACTGCCTGCATGTCCTCAGGGGAGACCTGGGCGCCAGGGCCTGCCCTGCCTGGCACCTGGGAGTCCCAGGGAGAGGCTGGAGCTGGCTGGGGGCTCGGGCAGTCCTTCCCAGGCTCCTCATCCTCTTTGGCAGGGAGCCGGGGACTCAGGGGGGCTGGTGGCTGCAGGCCCCGATCAGGGGAGTGGGCTTTAGCCTGGAGACAGGATGGCACCGAGGTGAGGTGCTTATGCAGTTCTGTGCAGCTCCGGCTCTGAGACTGCGTCGTGGGGCCCTTCTTCTCTTGGGTGCTGTCCATCTAGAAAGGAAAAAAGACCAGAGTGAGGAGGGAGGCCCACACTGCTCCTCCCTCTGCCTCGCCCCTGTAGCCACGGGCGGGGCTCAGCAAAGATCCTCAAAACTTGTGAGGTTTCATCCATTTTATCCCCAGCTTCCAGCACAGAGTCTTGGCACCTGGCTGCGCTCAGGTGATGAGGAACGAAAGAATGACCAGCCCCCTAGCATGGGTCTCGCCCCTTCAAGAGTCACAGCAGAGCCCTGCTCTGAGCATCCTGCAGCCCTGTGTACAGCCTTCAGTACGAGTGCCAGGAAGTACATTAGCGGTTGCCTGGGGCAGGCGTGGGAGCAGGGATTAACTATAAATGGGGGCACTGGGGATCTTCCTGGGTTGGTAGAGATGCTCTAAAACTGGATTGTGGTCGTGGCTGCATGACTCTGTAAATTTACTAAAAATCACTGAATTGTACTAAAATGGGTGCCTTTTATATTTAAGTAGCACCTCTATAAAGCTGTTAAAAAAAAAAAAAGCAAAATTCAATAGCTTCACAGTACCCATCTGATAAAGGGAAGGCCCCTTGGCCAGGCATTTCGGAACCTCTGCAATGTGGCCCGAGGACAGCTCTCACCAGCCTTACCTGTCCCCACTTGTCAATACAGAGGCTTTCTTCCAGGGCACCTGTCTCTTTGCTGGGGCCAGAATGGCTGTCAGGTGTGTCTCACATCCCTGGGGCACTTTCTAGCTCCCCAGAGGGCAAAAAGCTGGCTCACCAAGGAGCTTAGCTGCTGTCCCCTCAACAGAACAGAACACGAGGGGTAGACATTTGATTTGGGAGATCAGCCAGGGAGGGGGCACAGGGACAGGTTCCTACACAGAGCCACTGTCTGAGAGAGAGGCCATCCGACTCTGCTGTGAGGGTGTGGGACTGCAGGCCAGTCCCTGCAGGAATGTTGCAGGACAAGAGGGGAAGGGCCGTGTGCAGGCTCTGAGGAACAGGAACACTGGGAAATTGCCCCTGAAACCTCTCCTTGGAAGTCTCGGAAGGCGGAGCCGAAGGGGAAAAAAGGGCTGGCTTCACTCCTACGTGCTCCCAGTAGAGTTGTCCACTCTCCAGTGGCTTCCCTGAAAGAAATCCCAGCTCCTTACTGTGGTCTCTACAACCATGAGATCTTCTGTGTCGGACTGTCACCCCATAGAAAAAAGCCCCTGAGGACAGGCCATATCTTCCCTGTCCCTGCTCTAGCCCAGTGTTTGACACAGTGCCTGGAACGTGGATGTGTGTGAGAATGTCTGGGGCTCTTTCTAGAACCCCAACCTGGCCTGGGTCTCAAGAAGCGCCCAGCACACCAGCTATAAGGATGGTATGAGGAGGAGGGAAGCTGGAAGCTGATTGAACTTGAAACCCCTAACAAGAGCTGAAGGCTGCACCCCCCGAAGCCACCTGGGGCCAGGTGGGTTTTCAGGCATGCATAGAAATACCTTGACACAAGGCCGCTGACTTTTCGACCTGAGGCCTGCCCGGCGCCAGGTGGTCCCTTCCTTCTGAGTGTCGGAGCTTGACGCTGGGTAGGATGTGGCAAGCAGGAGCTTCTGCAGCTGCGGGAGAAGCAGAGAGGAGAGGAGCTAGGGCTGACCACAGCCATGGAGAAGGGAAGAGGCCCGAGCCCCAGCTGGCCCCTCGGGACTGACCACACCCTGACCCAGGTCATCACAGGACCATGGAAAGAGCATGTGATGGGCATTTAATGACCCAAAATACGTTTCCAATAGTATATTCTAATCCCGAACAGATCTTGGGTAATGCCTGCCCATCCTGTTATAATGTCCAGGGTGGGGCAAAAACAGGTTTCCAGTTGTTTGTATGAAAAATAATACAATTATTAATAAATAATAACACAAGAATAAACTCTGTGTTTTGCATACTCACAACTAGAAACCTGCTTTTGCCCCACCCTAGACATTATATTTTAACAGAATGGGCAGGCATTACTCAAGGCTGTTTGGGTTTCTCAAAGTCACAGATATTCTTCTTAGGCAATTAATTTTGAAAAGGAGTAACATTTTACTGGGATGCTTATGTGTATTTGGGGCTGTTAGACAATTGGCTCTCCGTACTTAATACTATGTACATAGCACCTCCGGCCACCCAGCTGCTTCTACACAAGTGAAAGAACGAGACACTTCAGCTTGTCTGGGATTTCTAATTTTTCTAAAATGACTGCTGAGACCTTACACTTCCGTACCCAGAGGGCAGATGCACAACGTATCCCAGCCAAGAAAGCAGGCAGCTAGGTGCAAACGGAGTCCTATCGGGGATCCTATCACAGCCAAGGTTGAGAGCAAGTGAGGAAGTATGACAGGTTTTTGCTAAAGTACCAAGTGATCTTGGGGGGGTCATGCCCCCCAGGACATCCCAGCAAGAAGTGCCAAAGGCCCAGGAAACGCAGAAAAGACCCTAGGAGTTGGAGGATCCCCACCTAGACCCCAAACCAACACACACACACATCTGTGATTCTCTGACATGGACAGGAAAAGTTCTGCAGACTGGAGGGAAGGGACCTGGTTCTGGCCCAGCTCAGACCCAACTCATCATGAGAGCCTCCCTGGGCAAGTCCTTTCCCTCTCTGGGACTTGGTGTCTCCAATGGTATAACAGGGGCAGATAGATTAAATGACTATATCTGAAGCTTTTTTTTGACTCAGGAGTTCCTCTAAGAATACGCTAGAAGCTGCTGACCTCAGAAAAACGCACAGGAATGTAGAGGTCCATCGGTCCTTATCAGTCCAATGATGGACTCTCTGGGATCCATGACACCAGGTTAAGAACTGAGCATGTGGGTGCCATATAAGGGCCTTTCTAGAACTCTGAGTATATTGAGAGTCTAGGGGTGAATCTGTTTCCTGTGTGCCTAGCACAGTGCCTGAAACAGAGGTGCTCAAAAACATGAAATGAAGGTAATCTAAGGCACAGAAGGGAACAACCTGTGGCCAGCAGGGGTCGCTCTCTATCTCCCAGAGGTTTGGTCCCTCTCCAGAGGCCCATACAGAAATGGCACTGAGAATAATTCTTGTTACTACTATTAATGGTTGTATATTACAACTATTACTTAGAGAGCATTTATTGAGCAACTACTATGTGCCAGGCACTGTTCTGAGTACTTTACATGTATTACCTACTGTATTCCTCCTAGCAGCCCAATTTGAGATAGACACTGTTTTTGACCCCACCTTATAGACCAGGGAGCTGAGTCAGAGAGGTTAGGGACACACAAGCATTCATTGGTGGGGCGGGGATTCAAATCCAGGAGGTTTGATTCCAGTCTGAAAGGAAGCATGACCCCTATCAGCAGGAGCCACAATGTGGGACTGCACATACAAGGTGCTTACCAAATGGTTCATACTCCTTTGGAGAACTTAAAGGAAGCAGGAAAGAAGAAAAGGCATCCTGGGCTAGGAGGCAGAATACCTGGGTTCCAGTGTTCACTGGCACACCGACTTGCTGTGTGACCACAGAAGAGGCCCTCCCCACTCTGGGTCTCCATTTCCCCATGGTCTTGATGGTTACCAAGGGCCTTTCCAGCTCAAAATTCTCCATGACCCCAGGCCCCTCCCCAGATCCAACAGGCTCTGATTTTCTGAGTCTCACCAGCCCCCAGGAGCCATAGCACCAACGTGAGGATCCCAACACAGGCGAGTGTAGCTGGACTTTATCTCGGCTTTTGTACCCTCAGCCTGAATCAAGGGCAACTGCTATGAACAACTCTTGAGGTCTAGACACAATTGAGAATCTGATAAAAGCTGAGGTCTTCTCCCCAGAAAGCTGTGATTCATGTGCACATTCCCACATTCCACATATACTCACACAGATAGCATTTAACCTTGGCTGATGGAAGTATAAACCAGTCTAACCTGTTTGGAGGGCAATCTGGAAGTACGTGTCTAAACTAAAAAAAAAAACCAAAGAAGCCCATATATCTGTAGAACTAAGAATTCCATTTCTAGGAAATTTATCCACTTACATGTAGTAAGGGTCACAGCATTGTAGCAATAAAGGAGTTGGGACAACATATATATCCATCAACAAGGGGACTGGTTAAATAAGCTATGGTACGTCCTTACAAAGGAACACTATGCAGCCAATAAAAAGGATGGAACAGAGCTACCTGTTTTCATCTGAAAGCGTAGCCACGACACACAGTTCACTGAGAAAAGCAAGGTGCAGAGCAGAGTATAATGTAGGCTCCCTTTTTGGATTTTTTTTTTTTAAAAAAGGATGGAAGAGGAAAGTTATATAACAGATCAGTAACCATGGTAACAGATGGCGAAGGAAAAAGCGATGATGAGATGAGTAAGGAAGTTTTGCTTCTAACTATTCACATTTGCTGCCTGAGTTTTTACTGTGTGTGTATGTATAATCTTAAGGAAAATGCTTGCATGTAATTTCAAGGTTTTGCAACACAATTAAGGTCAATCCATGAAATCCCCAAGGGCCTACAGAATGCACGTGAAGACTCTGTGACGAGTCCAGCTGTACAGGTGGTAAAGGTGAGGCCCAGGGAGGCCTCCCATGCCCCACCCAGGCTGTCTGCTGTGAACCCTGTTGCCACTGATGCACAGAGACCTCTGCAGGGTCTGGAGCTGGTTTCTCTATACCCACTAGCCCTACAAACAGGCACCATATCCCAGGCCACCACCATCTTGTCAACTGGAAACAGGTTCTCACCAGTGAGAGCTCGTCCACCTCAGGGGCCGGGACCGGGGAGCTCTCCAGGGAGGGACTGGAAGGCGCAGATGAGGGGGCAGGCGACACTGAAGCGCAGGATGGTGCGTCTCCATAGTCCAGGGCCGGGAAGGCAGCCAGACCCACGTCATCTTCGGGGATGTCATCCAGGGTCTTGGTGAGCGCTGCCAGGAGGGCCTCATTCTCACTGTCGATGATCTGGAACGCAGGGGGAGCAGAGAGGGAACACGATTAGTCAGTACCTTGGGCTCAGCCGTCTCCACGGCAGAAGCCTGCTGTGCACCCGCAGCGGCACCATCGTCGCCCTCCTGCCAAACCCTCGGATGCTTCCCTATCAGGTTCTCTCAGTGCTGTGGTAGAAGATGCCCGGGAAACATGTTATCGACTTTAAAAATCTCAGAAGTTTAGGAGCAGGCAGCAGGTGATAGTGAAGATGGCCTTGCCCTGGGAGTCCCGGGAGTATCGGGAGTGTGGGGGACACCCGTCCCCTCCAACAAGGAAAGTGGCTCTGCACCACAGCCTCCTGCATCCAACCCGGGGGACACGGCCCTGAGGCTGGTTTATGCCCCTGGTAGCAGCATCCCACTGCAGGTCCCAGCCCCTCTGACCCTTGGGCCCAGGCAGGCAGTGGAAAGGCTAGAAGCTTCAGGGTTCAGCCACGACGATGACAACCACAGCTACCACTTCCCTGTGGCTTCTCTCTCATTCACTCAGAGAGAGGGACTTAGTGTTATGGTCAGGAGTTTAGGTTCTGGAGCTGGGGTTGAATCCCAGAATCCATACTTTTCAACTATGTGTCCTTAGGCAAGTTACTTAGTTTTTTTCATCTGTCAGATGGGATAAGAGCAGTACCTACTGCATAAGGTTATTGTTGAAGACTAAACAAGTTAACATAAAAGAGTGCCTGGCACACAGTAGGCACTCATTGCTCTCACTGCTACTATGAGAATTCCTGCGGTAACGGTGGTGGTGGTGGTGGTGGTGACGACAGTGATGGTGGTGATGACGACGGAGACGATGATGATTGTGGCAGTGGTGGTAGCGACNATGACAGTGATAGTGGTGATGACGACGGAGACGATGATGATTGTGGCAGTGGTGGTAGCGACCATTCCTCCCCCATCTCCTGCCTCCCTGCCTTCCCCTAACACACGTACTGAATGGCTACTCCGTGCGTGGCGTCGTCTGGCGTGGAGTAGCCATTCTCACTGGTGATACAACGTGCCAACACTGGTACAGCCCCTGCCCTCGGGGAGCTTACACTCCAGTGGGGAAGAGTCGAACAGGGAAACAAACAAGATCATTTGGGAGACTGAGAAAGGCTGGGAGGAAAATAGAAGGAAGCCGTGAGGAAAAGAACATGGCGAAGATTTACAAGCTATTTTGAGGGTCAAAGAAGGCTGCTCTGAGCAGCTGAAACTGAAACTAGTATAGGCTGAAAGCTGAGATGGCACCGGCCAGGCAAAGGGTGCAGGAAAGGAGATTCGGGGCAGAGGGAAAAGCGAGTAACAAAGGCCTGGGACAAAGGATTTGGCTGACAAGAGGACCAGAAAGGCTCTGGAAATAGTGCCTCACGGCAACCTCTAAGAGCAGGGCACTGCTCTAATCTCCATCTTACAGGTGAGGAAACTGAGGCTTGTAGAGACTGAGTGAGGTGTCCAGGGTCACACAGCAAATCCAGGACAGAGGCAGGGCTTACACTGAGCACACCACGCACAGATGAACCAAGACCCTTCCTTCTCTGATGTCTAAGATCTATAACAACGAGGGTCATCAAGCACACCTCTAGCCCACCCAGACACTAGCCCCCCACCCCCTACCCCCCACGCCCAGAGGGCCTGGAGCATGGTGATCACACTGCCTCTAGGTGAGGCAGCGAGGACCTCATTTAGTAATCCCTGGCTGCCGGGCCTGTTCTGGCAGGAAGCACATTCTGTCACATGATGCCTCCCCCAGCACTCTTTCCCATCCCAGGTCAGGCTGTTTATCCTTTCTTCAGGAAGTTCATCTGAAATACCCATCTCGTGACGGCCTTTTGGCCCCACTAAATCTGTTCCAGGCCTTGCAGCCGGAGCAGCAGCTGAGTAACTCAAGGGGAACATGGGGAGAAGAGAACAAACGGATTTGTAATTTTTGGAACACAGCTAAGAATAAAAGAAAGGTCAAAAGGTTTTGGTTGGGCCCGACCCAGGCCCTGGGGGTGGGGGAGCCCAAGGGTAGATTTGGACCCAAGGACTATGGCTCAAGGATGCAAGGAGCTCACTTGACTTCTCCCACTCCCGCCCAAAGACCAGAGTCCCCCCGTGTTCCCAGAGCGATCTGTCTAGCCTGATGGGGAGTTAATGTCTTGGAACCTGGGGCTCAATGAACACTCTTGGGGCTGACCACGTGGGGCTCTGCCACAACAGGCTGATCTTGGACAAGTCGTTTCCCTCTTCTGAGCCTCACTGCTTTGTCTGTAAAATGGGAAGCCATGATCCCAGGCCAGCCTCCCTCCCAGGTCTACTAGGAAGGCAAGTCTGGAAGTAATGATGAAAGTGCTTCCATGCCTAGTGCAGTGCCTGATGCACAGGAGGCACCCAGGCAGATTTTTTGAATGAAAGAAGAAATGAACCAAACAATGAATTCCGGCCACGAGGAGAGACTGTGATCAGGGTTTCAAAGAATAGATTCTAGAGGGACGTTACTCAGAAATGATGTCATCGAGCACTGGACGGAATGAGAATTCCCTTTCACAGAGGTAGCCGATGGCCCAGAGATATTATGAATTATCAAACATCAGCTGATTCCTCAGGGATCACACAGTGACCAGGGATGTTAAACCATGACCCAAGTGCTCGCACTCCCCTTACTGCTAACCAGATGGGGCTGTTCCTTCCTCACCAGCATCTTTCTTAACACAGCCCTCCAGGCAATAACTGCCCATGGCACTCATGAGGAAACTTATTTGCCATTCTTTTTAGGGTAGGGATATGAAGGTCCAGGAAAGAGACTTGTCAAGGTCACACAAGACAGCTAGTCAGACGGGGGTCAAGGACTTACTGTGTGCCAGGCACTGTGCTAAAATGAATACAAAATGGCAGAGACCTCAAGAAGCCCCTAACAGGTTCGTATAAACAAAATAACTAACAAAAGGCGTCCACGATCTCCCCAGCCCTCCCTGAGCTGCTCCAACTGGGGTTGGAGGCCCTGACCTGGCCTGGGAAGAAAGGCCACTCCTGCCCACAGAGTTGGCCCCACAGAATAATACAACAGGGAGAGCTGGGCCAGCCCTCTCCTCTTCCTGGGCCCATTAGCTCGACTCTCCCAGCTCTGCTTGGAAACCGAGTGTAAATTAATGGAGAGTTAATCAGCTGAGGAAGGGATATTAATAGCCTCAGCCCCACCCCCAACCTTCCTAAGCTGATGTCAAGAAGGAGGAAAAGGAGTCTTTACGAAATCTGAGGGAAAACGCTTCATTTTGGGCGGAGAGTGCTGGAAGAAATGTCACAGAACAGAATTTATGCTATCGGGGCTGGGAGGATGCTCAGAAATCCTCTGCTGTCCAGGGGGCTTAACTGGGGTTCCAGAAACCCAGGAAATCCATTCCCCCTCCCCACCCTTTGTACCAGGAGTTGGTCCATAGATTTCATCAGAGTCTAAAGGACCCTGTGACTCTCCCCCAACAGGTTAAGAACCACTGATTGAATCCATGTTCCTTCCTCATTCCTCACATGGGGAAACTGAGTCCCAACCAAAAGAAACTACTTGCCCAGGGCCATGCAGCACATCATGACAGACAACCAAATGCCTGCTTTCTCTAAAAATACTTACGAAGTGCGTGTTGTGGCCCTGACCCTGGGACCCTGGGACCCCGGGACCCCGGGACCCTAGGACCCTGGGACCCTGGGCACAGAGAGAAATGGAAGGTACCGTTCCTGCCCCGAGGGGTTGTCAGACCTGTCACAGCAGCGTGTTCTCCACTCTCCCACTCTGTTTCCATAGCAATGGTGTCATTTGATTGTCAGAACATGGCTCTGACAAGGCAGTGCGGCTCTATGAGTCCCACTGGTCAAATGAAGAAACTGCCCCAGCTCGTGGCAGAAGGACAGAACCTATGGCACGTGAGTCCCAGCACAGGGTTGTGGAAATGGGTCATGTCTGGTCCTTGGCAGGAAAGAAAATATTACAATTGGTGCCTTCATTCAACACATATGATTGAGTCTTGACAATGTGTGAGGGCTCATCGGCCAATAAAATGCTGCTTGTCCTAAAAGGAGCTCAAAGTCTAAAGGACACACATGTAGACACACACATACACATACACATACACATACACATACACATACACATACACATACACACACACAAGATGGGAGCCCAGGAAAGGAAGTAACTGACCAACTGCCTTAGAAGGAGCCAACCTGATGGCTGGAAATTGAAGGACGTAGTCATTTGATAAATACGTATGAAGCCCTGAGAAAGTGCCGGGCATCGTGCAGAGCCCTGGGACTATAACAGTGCACAATGCCTCATAGCCCCCATGCTCGTAGGGTTGACAACAGGGACAGGGGAGGAATCAGACACCAATCGCATGCATCACAGACGTGCATCGATGCATAATGGGAAGGGCTGGCCTGGTCTTGAGAGAGCAGGTGGGGAGCACAGGCCAGGAAGGGGCGAGGGGCTGGGTGGGCGGAATTCTGCACAGTCCTAACCGACTGTGAGGATTCTGCCTTCCTTGCTGGGCCGGGAACCTCGGGGGGGGCCTGCACCAGGCTGACTTGTGTCTGAGACCATGTCATGTACATGGTAGGACCTTGGCAGGACCTTGCTAGTGAGACTGGCCAGTCTCTGAGTAGGCAGGGGCCTGTACAGTTTAGGTGGGATGGTCTCCACACAGCATTTAAACCCCTCTCACATCAGCATTTTCTGGAAGTTGGCACCCTCTAAGGGAGGGAACAGCATAGCGTAGGTCTCATTCCTTTTGTTCATGTAAAGAGTGAAGGTCACCAAATGGAAACAGCCCTGGAGCCCAGCCCTGCTGATCCTCATGGGGTTGGCAGAGAGGTTGTATAGTAGTGGGGGGCATGGGTTTCTGGGTTAGAGTCTTCACCTTGACCCTTCCTAGCTGTGGGATCTTGGGCTAACAAGTTAGTTAACCTCTCTGAGCTTCACTGTCCTCACCTGTAAAATGGGTTATTAATAGTCCTTTACTTATAGATTAGAATAGCTCTAGGGGGAAAAATCAAACTCCTTACCGTGTCCCACAAGACCCTGCACAATATGGCCCCTGCCTACCTCTCTGACTTTACCTCCGGGCACTTTCCCCTTAGCTTCTACCCTCCAGCCCTTCCATTCCCCAACAGGGCAAGCTTCCCTGCTTCCCAACTCTTTACTTACTGCTTCCTCTGTCCCTGCTCTTTGGTCTTCATGAGGCTCCTCCCTCTCACCCTTCAGCTGAAGCATCTCCTCCCCAAAGAGGCGTTTCTCGACCACCCAATCTTTAGACCCCTTCTCGCCCCAGGTTTATTTCCTTTTGTGCCCCCATCACAATGACCACTGTTTGTTTATGTGTCAGCTGATCTAGGGTCACGCTCCCCTCTAGACTGTCCAGTCCACTGGTGAACACAGTGCTTTAAGCACAGAGCGAGCTCCATAAACATTTCTAGAAGCAACGATATAATCTTCAGGACTATCTGAAATGATGCTATGGCACACCTGCATGTCAACTGGCACATAGTATTTGTTATTATTATCACTAGATTGCCAGCCAGGCGCAGGGGGATAGGTCTCTCCCCAGTCTTCATGGGGGAGCATATTTCACCCGTCACCCAGCTTCAACAACACTGCCAACTTTCTTTCATCTGTTACCCCCCGAGCCACCAATACACCCGCACACGCAAATTAATGTGGAATGTATTTTATTTATCTTTTTTTATAAGTTCATTTGAGCCAAACTGATGACATGTGCTGGGAAGCAAGATCCCAAATGCTCCTGGGCTTGCTTTATTCTGGAGCAAACCTCAGACATATCATTCCTCGTTAGAGGGCTTCTCAAAGGAAATGCCACCCATTACCTGCCCCTAGGCTGGGCGTGGGAGCACATGGGTTGAGAGGCATATGGATACATAGCAGTTCTCAGCACTGAGTATTTTAAAGACCCTCTAGGCCCCAACTGAAAAATAGAGATAACTGTACTTATGTCTGAGAGTTGTTAAGAGAATTAAGTGAAGTAATTACACAAACAGGGACAGTCCTGCCACAGAGCAGCTGCTCAGTAAACGAGAGGCACTCCCATTATGGCATCATTGTGGCTATAAAGCCCTGGCTTGGGAGGCAGGCTGACGGGGTTTGAATCTAGCTCACTACTGGCTAGGTAAATGGCTCTGCGCACATGACTTTACTTCTTCAAGCTTCAGTTTCCTCATCTGCAAAATGGGGAAATAATCATGCCTGTCTCACAGGATAGAGAAGAGAACTGCATGAGATACTACAGGGAAGAGAGGACTTGGAACCTGCCTTGACCCACAGAGGGACTGGTTCTGATTGGGGCGCACAGAGAGAGCAGCTCTTCCCAGCCCTCACTTTCCAGAGGCCCGGCAAGGGATGACAGCTGCCCAAGATCAAGTGCAGATCCAGGACAAGAGACACGGTCCCAAGAGCTTAGGTGGTCCCAAGAGGAGACCTCTTTGCACAGGCAAGTGCAGAAGAAGGTGGTGCAAGTGGAGCCAGGCTTCCAGGGGCAGAGAGGGACCTGGCTGGGCAAGAGGTGGCACGGCTCGGAGGACATACCTGGAAGAGCTCCGAGTCGTCGGGGCTGTACTGGCTGGGCTCGGTGTCAGAGCTCTCGGGGCACCATTGCAGCTCCCCAAAGCAGGTGGCCGAGTCGAAGTCACTGACATCCAGCTGGGAGAGGTCAAGCTCCGGAAAGTCAGCACACAGTTGCTCTTCCCCGGACTCCACACCCTGAGGAGACAGGAAGGAAGGAGGCTGGTCAGAGCAAAGCTTGGCTAAACCCAAGCGGGGACATCTTACTCATGATGCTGCCAGCCCAGACCTTCAGCTGCCCTTGGCCAAAGCCATTTTGCCAAATGACCAAAAAATGTCAAGTTCTGCCCCACTCTCTTGCAGTTGTGGAATGTACCAGGAGCTAAGCCAGGCCCTAGCAATACAATACTGCCCGCTGTTCTCTCCTCCTCTCCTCTGCACTCCTATATATCCCTTAAGGCCTGCCCACGTAGCACCTCTTTTTTCTTAGCAGCAATGTTTTGTTGAAAACTTTATGAGAACCTATAAATAGAGACGTACTCCTTTACATACTTGCCCCCAGCTGAAAGGGGATTTCTGGAAGGCAACAATCCCTCAATATTAATAATGAAACAACAAAAACAGCAATAATAATAATGCCTGATGTTATCGAGTTATTACTATGTTGTGGACAAACACTTGCTCATGTTCCCAAGGACTCTACAGGAGTATCTGTAAAGTCTAAAATGTGGAAGACATTAGACAACAGGTAAATAAAACCAATATCACCCGCATCATGGAATATTACGGTGCTGTTGAAGAGAACGAGGCGGGTGTATATGCTCTTTAAGACATGTTAGACAGCCCGGCCGGACGTGGCTCAGTGGTTGAGCATCGACCTAGGATCCAGGAGATGGGGGTTCGATTCCCAGTCAGGGCACATGCCCGGGTTGTGGGCTAGGCAGCCGATCAATGACTCTCTCATCATCGATGTTTCTCTCTCTCTCTCTCTCTCCCTCTCCTTTCCTCTCTCTGAAATCAATAAAGATATATTAAAAAAAAAAAAGACATGTTGGACAAAAAACTAAACTGCAGAATATCAGTAGGTAGAATATTATCCCATACATGTAGAGAGCAAAACCAGGCTACACGTTTCTCTGCATAATTAACACATATGCAACACACAGGAAAAGGTCTAGAAGGTCCACCTGCCAGTGGCGGGTGTGGACTCTGGAGGACTCTGATAACATCACTGACTGAACCAGTGCTTCTCAAACTGTGGTCCCAGGATTGGCGGTGTCAGCAGCAGCTGGACCACGTTAGAAATAATGCAGGCTCTCAGGCTGAACCCCAGACGCCCTGAATCAGAGGCAATCACTTTCTCATCCCAATCTCCCAAATTTAACAGTTACCAATAGAAGGGCTGCCCTGCCGATTTAGAAATAGTCTGAGTTGGGAGGCTGACACTGAAATGGCATAGCATAGGCCCCCGGGTGGATCCCTGCTCAGTAGCTGTGAAACCTTGGACGAGTCCCTTCACCTCTGTGGAGCGCAGCTACCTCATCTGTAAAATGGGAAACCCCCACTTGCCTCATAAGGTTAAGATGAAACGATGGTATAGCCCGGCTTGGCAAGTGCTCAAGAAATTGTAGTTCACAGTCATGGTAACAAATTTTTTAAAAATAATAAAAACAACAGCAGTTTTTGGCAGGCAGAGGGGGCGGAACTGCATTAGAGAATGAAAAGAGGGCTTGTGTGACACTTAGAAGAAATAGGTTTAGCCAGGCCTTTCCTTAATTGTTTCCACTTACTAGGCCTCATAAATTATGAATAAATGTATATTATTAGCTCAACTTGACACAGGAAAAAGGCTTTTATCCGAATTTAGGTCAAATGTCTTAATTGGCATTTTGCAAGAATCCTACATGCGTGGGCTACACCGGGGCAAGCTTCTCTCGAGTGGTCCGCCCTCTGCTCTCAGGCGAGGAACCACGGCGCTCAGGCAGTCTCTGTCTCCAGGGACACCCCTAACCACCCTGCCCTCCACCTACCCAGTCTTTCTCCAACCCACGAATTCAGCAACCACGAATACTAGGCACCGCATCACTCTGGGCCCTGCCAACACCCTGACCACAAGTCACCACCACTCAACTGCTATGGCTGTAGGGACACTCAGGTGGATTCACAGCCACCTCTGGGGACTCCCTTCTCCTTCTTGCCCAGGGGGACTGCTGTCTTGCCTGCTCTAGATGGAAGGCTGGTTTGTTGCTAGTTTTGGACTATTATGAAAAGTCTGCAATATTTGTGCATAAGTCTTTGTGTGAACATGTCTTCATTTCTCTTGGGTAGATATCTAGGCATGAACTTCCTGGGTCCTATGGTATGTGTGTGACTTTATAAAAGCTACAACTTGTTTCCCAAAGAGGTTGTACCACTGTACATCTATCAACTGTATGAGAGTGCCAATTGCTCTACACCCTCACCAGCACTTGGTATTGTCACTCATTTTTAATTTTAGCCATGCTAGTGGGTGCATTCCAGCACTTATAAAATGCTATGAGCCAGGTACAGTGACACAGAAGACTCAGTTCATTCTTTCAGGGGGTTGACATCTTCGTAGGGGAAGAAAATACATAAATATTTCATTATAGATCATGTCAGTACTGCGAAGGAAACAAACCAGGTGCGCTGATGGAGGATAAGGGGGGTGCTATCTTAGTTGGAGGAAGGGGGGTTGGGAAGGCTTCCTGGAGAAGCTGTCATTTGAGTTGACACTTGAAGGAGGAGCCATGTGGTAGAAGACGTGGGAAGAACGTTCCAGGCAGAGGGCCCAGCAAAGGCAAAGGCCCAAGTGTGGACCAAGCCCAGAGCATGAGGCACTGACCAGAGGTCAGTGAGGCTGCAGCTCAGTAAGCTGGGGGGGGGCGGGGGGGGTGCAGATGCCTTC